GTCACACTGCCACTCCATCCCTTACCCACCACTTAGTCTTTTAAGAGCTGGCTTTTTTGTTTCAGAAATAATTAGTAAGGCATTTAGCCCTCAATGTCTTGTTTTGAGTACCCATCATCTTCCCCCTCTAGGTACTTGCAAGGTGCATATGGCTTATGTGGGCAAGTCAGGCTGAGTCAGCCAGAAGGACTGATTATGAACCAAGCAGCAGAGCCCTGGGGGCAATAAGTAACCTCCAGCCGCAGCCTCTGTCCAACTTAGAAGTCCACGCGAGGGCATGTTCCACCATACCCTGCCCATCCCGCCACCCATATTGAGGAAATTAGAGAAGGTTCCCCTTGAGAAATATTGGGAAGGAAGCGATTCAGAAAGTAAATTAGTGCCACTGAGCTGACCATTTACTAAGTCATCATCCCGACCAGGTTAACACCAGTACCTTTAAAAAGTAGACAACGTGGAATTAAGGGATCTGCTCAACCATCACAACGTGCTCGATTGTTTGAATCTAATTACTTGGTCTGGGTATTTTCTGCTTGGTGTTCCCAGCCTTTGAACAGTTTCCAAAGGCAGAGCTTTATAGAAAGGGTCTTTGAAAACCCTAAGGGTCTGCGATTCCGTCATTCTTTAGGTGGATTTTTGATCCAAGTGGCCGAATTTATCCTTTGCCTTTATTTCTTCATCAACACTCTTTGTTTGGTCAATGATCTTAAGTAAGAGTTCTCATCCTGGGGCGCCTGGGTGGCCTCTGCCTTCAGCTCAGGTCATGATCTCAGGGTCCTGGGATCGAGCCCCACATCAGGCTCTCTGCTCAGCGGTGGGCCTGCTTCCTCCTCTCTCTCTGCCTGCCTCTCTGCCTACTTGTGATTTCAGTCTGTCAAATAAATAAATAAAATCTTTAAAAAAAAAAAAAAAAAGAGTTCTCATCCTGAGATCCAGAAGTGGACTTGAGCAATTCTGTGAATCTCTGGAAACTGTGGGCACAAATTCTATGTGTATGTACATTTACATGACTTTAATCAGATTCTTAAAGGGCTCCAAGACCTACGTCTTGTCCCTGTGCATTCATGATGTTCTCTAGACCAGGGCTTCTCCAATCAACATGAAAGAACAGATTACAAGGTGTGTGCCTAGGTCTCTATAGCCGGACAGGGCCAGGAAAGAGCTTCCCAGTTGCTATAAAAATATTATTTTCTCTGTGTGCCACAGTGTATAACAGGTTAGGAAGCACTGCACACTCTTCACTTTTTTTTTTTTTTTTAAGTAAGCTTCACGCCCAACATGGGGCTTGAACTCATGACCCTGAGATCAGGAATTGCATGCTCCGCTGACTGAACCAGCCAGGCGCCCCTAAGCTCTTTCTTCACTTTTATCCCATCCACCATTTTTGCTTTCTGCATCTCTTTCCTCATCTCCATGGCCTTAATCCTCCAGAAAGCAGCGTGGCGTGGATTTGGCCACCTGTGGTACAATCAATCGGCATTTGCGTACTCTGACAGGAAAGAAAATGCTGTTGTACTCTACCCTTCCAGAAATGCCCCCTGCTTCCCACATCTGGGAATTTTCCTTGCCGGCCACACGGTAGTAAATGAGACCAGCTCATACCCCCTTTCCTGGGCGATTCCTTTTGCTGATTCCTTGCATCTGTCCCTTTCCTGCAATAGCTCCTGTCCAGAAGAAGTGTCTAGAAGAATCTCTGTGCTAGATAAATGGCTCCCAGTTTCATTCCAAACATTCCTTAAAAACACTTTCATGCATTCTTTCCAACCAAGAAAGACATTAAAATCTTACATAGAATCCGTGTAGAACCAAATTCAAGCTCAGACATAACAAACAGGGCAGGCAAATTCTCTTGAGTGCTGGCTAACACAGAGCACCCTAAAAACAGTTACCTTCCCAGCCCTCCCCTGCCTGAACCCCAAAACACACAAAAGTCCTTATAGTCCTTGACCAGACAGTCCATCTGGGATCAGTTTCATCACCTGATGCTCAGATCACATCATTTTCCTAGCAACAACTTTATAATTTTGGTAAACTAAGAAGTATTCCAACCACTTGGTTTGTTTATTTGCTTGTTTTTTGTAATCTCTACACCCAGCATGGGGTTCAAACTCACGACCCCAAGAACAGGAGTCACAGGCTCTTCAGACCGCGCCAGCGGAGTGCCCCAGTATGCCACCCACTGAGAATTAATTTATGGTTCAGATTTTTGTAGGAAGGACTGCAACAAAACGTTGACAATTGTCTGCTATAATTCAACTGTCCATTTCAAAGTCCTGAAGACCTAATTAAATATTTTTCTAGCCCACACTGCGTTTCTATTAGAGAAGAAAGCTCTTTCTGCCTTTTACCAGTCATCCAATCTGACAGACCAAGATGTCAAAACCTTTCCTAACATCTTTAAAACTTCCTTCCTTCGGACCTGAACCAGCTTCTCCTAGACACATTCCTGACCCCTAACTTCTTCGTCAATACACCGTTTCAAAAATACCTTCTTCTAAGGAAAAGAAATGGCTGTTAAACCATAAGGAACTAGAAGCACATATTTCTTAAATATATAACTACAATGTTACTAACTAGGATGTTATGTGGCACGCAATTAGGAACGGAAGGTCAAGGATGTGGGTGTTGCTCTCCTTTCAGGACGGCACTGGGAGAGTCTGCTAAACCTGTCCCTGTCGCAGAGCCCCCAGGTCCGCAGACTTCACTTTGCTGTCCAAGAAAAACCACAGACCCACAAAGAAGTCTTTCCTAGAAACCTACAACCACTAACTCTGAAATAACAAATTAATTCTTCTTAGACTATTTCCAGCTGTAGTTAGAAAGGTCTCCCATCTGGGTGCTCCTGGAAAGCATTACTGTCAGCCTTACACGGCGTTGCTGAAGAATATTTATACGAGATGAGCTACTTCCTTCTTAATGAAACTGACAACCAGACTGAATTCAGGATCACTTTACTTGAAGGATATAATCTCTGGCAAATCCTTTAAGAAAGCCATCCTATCACTTTTCCCTGTATTTTAGAAGTGGGATGTATTTGAAAAAAATGCCTGAAAATCACTAGCCGTCATTTTAAAACCGACTTTTTCAGCCAATATCTGGAGTTAGAAAAATCTATGCCATGGGCTCCCCAAAATAAAATACATATAGACAATATTACATTTTCTTTTTTTAGAATAAAATAATGTAGATTTGCAAGTTGCAAAAAAATTAAATATTGTTTTTAAAACGTTTGCTGAGTTGACAGAAAATGAAATGCTCCGCTCCCATCTGTATCCATTACAACAGAGGATTTACTGGTTATTATTCACTAACCTTAAGTGTGCTCCAGCTTTTGAAGGGAGAGATGAACACAGCTGGGAGTGGGGACATACTGCAGACATTTGCAGGTGATTATAAATAAATGAAACATTAAGTACACCTCAAAATCAGCCTCTTACTCACATCATATACAATGTAGATCATGCTGATTTTACTTGATTGGGATATCCAGATATCCCAAGGACCTGTTTGTGTGATACCGATGATTAACAATATTTCTTATTTTGTCAACAGGAGCCACTTGAATTTCATTCATGGTGATGTCTGTTTCTGTTTTCTCTTTTTATTTATTTATTTATTTGTTTGTTTGTTTATTTTTAATATATTTTTTAAGATTTTACTTATTTATTTGACAGATCACAAGTAGGCAGAGAGGCAGGCAGAGAGAGAGAGGAGGAAGCAGGCTCCCCGCCGATCGGAGAGCCCGATGCGGGGCTTGATCCCAGGACACCGGGATCACGACCTGAGCCGAAGGCAGAGGCTTTAACCTACTGAGCCACCCAGGCGCCCCTCTTTTTATTTATTTTTTTTAAAGATTTTATTTATTGATTGATAGACAGAGATCACAAGTAGGCAGAGGCAGGCAGAGAGAGGGAGGGGGAAGCAGGTTCCCCGCCAAGCAGAGAGCCCGATGGGGGGCTCAATCCCAGGACCCTGAGATCATGACCCGAGCCGAAGGCAGAGGCCCAACCCACTGAGCCACCCAGGTGCCCCTGTTTTCTCTTTTTAAACATTCTTTAAATTTAACTTTTTTTTTTTTAAAGAATTTATTTATTTGAGAAAGAGTGACAGAGATAGCAAGAGCGAGCAGGGGAGGGGAAGAGAGAGAGAAGCAGACTCCCCACTGAGCAGGGAGCCCGAAGCAGGGCTGGATCCCAGAATTCCGGGATCATACCTGAGCCAAAGGCAGCCACTTAACTGACTTCAGCTATCCAAATGTCCTTCTTACTTTTTTTTTTTTTTAAAGATTTATTAAAGATTTTAAAAATTTATTTATTTATTTTGGAGAGACACATGTGGTAGCGAGTCGGGGAAGGGGCAGAGGGAGAGAATCATCTAGCAGACTCCTGGCTGGCCACGGAGCCCCTTGCGGGGCTGATCCCATGATCTCACCCATGAGATCACAACCCATGAGATCATCACCTGAGCCAAAACCAAGAGTTGGACGCTTCACTGACGGTGCCACCCAGGAGCCCCGTTTCTCCCTTACTTTTAGTTGCTGATGATTTAATGGTAGTTAAACTTTCCTTTTCTTTTTGTATTCTTTTACTCACTCAAGAGTTCAAAATATGTTTTTAACATCTTTTCATTTTCCTTTTGATCAAGGTAATATAAAGCTGCTTTCATTTTACTTCTTTTTTAAAAAAGATTTTAATTAATTATTTTTTATTTAAAATATTTATTTATTTATTTTGAGAGATAGAGAGAATGCAGAGGGGAGGGGCAGAGGGAGACGGGGAGAGAGAGAACCCAGAGTGGTGGAAATACAGGTACTAATTCTCGAAGAAGTGGGAGGGAGTTAGGAAGTGGAGACGTGGGCATGGGTGCCTGTAGGATGGGACAGAAAGAAGGGAAATGGGATACAGAGCCTCTGAGGGGTCATGGAGTGAATGGGAGTCGTGCAAACGGTATGAACCGCACAAGAATTCTGACACAAGTGGCGACGTTTCCCTGTATTGTAGCCACTGACCCAAGAACAGACGTGCCGTCCCCGAACAGCCTGCCTCCCCTGGGCTTCCTTCCGTTCCAGGCTGCCTGTCTCCAACTTCAGCTCTTCTCCCAGCCTTTCCCGAACACGCGTGCCCCGGCCCACCTTCCCAGGACTGTGTGCCGGGTGACAGCCCGTCACTGTGCGCACCAAGTCAACAGGTAAGTTTCCTGCTGGGGATGTTAGGCACCACACCAGTCTGATAAAGACCGCCTCTGGGACTAAGTGGACAATGCTGGTGCCCGTGAAATCCCACTGTCACGGTTCCCCCTGTCTCCAAATACAGCCCTAGAGGAAGCACAGAATCTAAGAAACTCAAACCACCTGGTCCTACACACTTAAATTGCTAGTTCCTTAAAGGGGGGACTTTGCTCTTATATGCTGTTGCACATTCAGCATGTGCCGGGCATTGTGCTAATCACGACTTTTGTTAGAGACTGCCTCTAAAAATGCCTTTAAAATCAGTGCCTCTTCTGGGTGCCTGGGTGGCTCAGTGGGTTAAAGCCTCTGCTTTCGGCTCAGGTCATGATCCCAGGGTCCTGGGATCGAGCCCCGTATCGGGCTCTCTGCTCAGCAGGGAGCCTGCTTCCTCCTCTCTCTCTGCCTGCTTCTCTGCCTACTTGTGATCTCTGTCTGTCAAATAAATAAATAAAATCTTTAAAAAAAAAAATCAGTGCCTCTTCTGGGTGCCTGGGTGGCTCAGTCAGTTAAGCCTCCGACTCTTGGTTTTGGCTTGGGTCATGAGATCAAGCCCCTGAGTCGGGCTCTGCACTGGGCGTGGAGCCTCCTTGAGATTCTCTCTCTCTCCCTTTCCCTCTGCCCCTCGCCCCCATCTCCTCTCTAAAAAAAAATTATAATAATAAAATAAAATAAAAAATTAAATATAGAATTGCCATATGACCCAGCACTTCCACTTCTGGGGATATACCTGGACAAACTGAAAACAGAGACTCTAATAGATATTTGTACCACCCATGTCCCTTGTGGCATTAGTCACAATTAGTGAAAGGTGGAAACAACCCAAATGTCCACTAATGAATGGATAAACCATTGTATATGCGCACAATGGGATATTATCCAGCCCTAAGAGGAGGGACATTCGACACGGGCTACAGCAGGGATGAACCTTGAGGACATTACTCTCTGTGAAATAAACCAGTCACAGAAGGTCACGAACTCCATGTTTCCTCTTTTATGTGGTGCCCCTAGAGGAGTCAAGTTCATAAAGACAGAACGTGGAATGGCGGTTGCCAGGGGCCAGGATGTTCTTAATGGCACTGAGCCATATTCTTAAAAATCTTTCATATAGAAAATTGTACATCACATATATGTTACCACAACAAAATTGTTTAAAAAAAAATCAGCCTCCTTCCTGCGATCCCTAAAACCCAACCCGATGTATCCATGCACACTACGCAGCACTCCTCCGGGCCCTTAGCTTGCTCCGGCTTGCTTTGCCGGGACCTCGACAGCAAGCACAGGCCTCCGCTCTGCATTCCTGGTGCCTGAGGCCCGGTTGCTGCTCATCTCCCCAGTGTCCACCCTCAGCTTCGACTCCGTGACCTCGCAAGGGCTTGGCCTTCGCCTGTCTGTGGCCCTGGCTTGCGCTCAAAGGCTAGCACCCCAAGCCGCAAGTGAAAAAGTAAACCTTCTCCGTCCCCCTCTGCCCCTCTCTCCGCTCATTTTATTTCTTTATCTGGGAGAGAGAGAGAGACAGAGCAGGGGGAGGGGCAGATGGAGAGAAAATCTCAAGCAGACTCTCTCGGCGGAGCATAGAACCCAGAGTGGGGCTCGATCCCAGGACCCATGAGATCAAGACCTGAGCCGAATCAAGAGTCGGACCCTCGAGCGACTAAGCCACCCAGGCGGCCCTCAGAGAGCTCTCTTCTAAGTCTCAATCCTGGATGTCACCGGCTTGATCCTCTCCTTCGCTGATATTATTTAGGGAAAGGAGAGAATGTTTGCTATAGTCTGACCGGTGCGAGCCAGATGTAAGCTAAAGGTCCCACTGTGTGTAAAACAGTAAAAAAAAAAAAAAAAAAAATCCCCATGTGACTGAATCCTAATAGCCCAATCCAGGAAATTCTGAGGCCAGACGCTCAAAGCAGACTCTTTCCTGAGCTCCCGTGGCCTCTTAGCTTTCAACCCCAGCCTCTAATTCATGATCTGGGGAGAAAGCCTGTGAAGAGGGTTTCCATTAAAGAGCATCAAACACAATCAAATTCTGGTCTTTCCCAAACGCAGACCCGCATGACCAGCCCCTCCAGCACGCCAGCAGCACCTACGTGTTTAATCTGGATTCTGATAGCTGCCTCAATTTCAGTATCTCCCGTGGGCGCCGCATACAAACAGTCCTCCGTGGCCACTGGCAGAAATTCTTAGAAAAACAATCCTTCTGGTCGTTGGAGTCACAACTACTACCACTTTCGCTCCCTGCCTCCCCGTCACCGAAGAGGCTGTTTTGACTCAGACCACAGGGGCCCGTGTGGACCACATGCAGTCCGAGTGTGCGGGGGACAATGGGCGCTCCTTTGCTGGCCGCCGGTGTCATTTCAGACCCTGCTGGACAGATGGGCTCCGTTCCGAGTGGGGAAGAACCACGCCTGGCAGAGGACAGTTTCGACAGGGCCATCTCCTCGCCCACACAAAGTGTCTCATCCCTCGGCCAGGGTCGGGGCCGAATGGCGGCAGGTGGCTTCTGAGTATCGGAGCCCTGGTTTCTCCCCCAGCATCCGCTCTCCGGTCTCAGGGACGGAATCTCAGGGATCGTGGCCGTGGGCTCCCCCCACCGCCCGCCCCGCCCGTTTCTGCCATGCGTGGGGCAAGTGCTCGCGGCTGCTGGAGCACAGGAAATCCATTCACATCCTGATATAACCCGCTGACTAATACAGGCTTAGCAAGGAAGCAGAAGCGTCTGACCAGCAGAAACAACTGAATTACTCGTGGAGGGGTGAGGAAATGACACCCCCCAATGGGCTTGATCTCACCATTTGGTTTGGACGGGGGAGCTCACCAGGGAGGGCCACCAGACGTCCTTGCCGCTATCCACCATCATTAATTCCGAGCAAAAGAAGAGCAGAGCCAGTGTTTGGGGAGCAGGAGTAAGACGGATAAGGAGATGGTGGTCTTGAGACCACAGTGGACATAAAAATAAATCGCCCAAACCCCAAGACTTAAAGCGAGGGGCAGTCTGCTTTGCAGGTTTGCAGGTGTGGGCTTTGGAATCGGACAGAACTGCCTCTGCCTCTTCTTCTGCGACCAAACCATGTAACCTTAAGCCTCAGCTTCCTCATTTGTAAAATGGGAATAATAATAGGATTCCTCCCTAACTGGGTGGGTTTTCAGGAATGAATGAGACTATTGTATAAAGCACTTAGCATAAAGCCTGGTATATAAGAAGCACCTAATTAACGTGGGTATTAATCATAATAGTGTATTTTCAACAGAAAATAATGGATTTGGTGTTTGTCCACACCTGCAGACAGGTAACCGAGAATTCACTTGCGCTAACCAACCCAGCTCCGGAAAGAGTGTGGAATCAAAGGGAAGCTCAACACTTCCTGCTTCGAAACACACTTTCCCACCAAGATCCCCACCAGCACCTGCATTAGAGCCTCCGCCAGGAGAACTGGAGAACCGTCCAAGGCTTGCAATTACACGGCCGTAAATTACAGAGCCGCGGTGCGCAGGGGTCATCCGCAGTAGCGTTTGGGATGTTTCATCCTGCAGAATCTACTGGACTGGACATGATTAACAAGTATTACACAGATCAAGTATTACAGGCCACATCAAGGGCACACAATTGTATTCCCCTGGAACAGTGATTACCATAATCTTCACTTAGGAAGTACACCTGTGCATGACGGTTCCATTCCTTGGGGACATCATTTTTTTAAGGATTTTATTTTTAAGTCATCTCCACACCCATTGAGATTAAGTAACCTCAAACCCCTAATTCTGAGATCAAGAGTCCCACGCTCCACCAACTAAGGCAGCCAGGCACCCCCGCATCTTAAGTCCATCCGTCAGAACCCACCAGAGTCTCTTCCCCAAGCCAGGAGAACGAGGAGAATGAACGGCTGGTTCACACCTGCTTCCATCCCACGAGGTCAGCCGGGAGGTCACGGACGTGGCCCTCTATAACAGCGCTGATCGAATGAAAACAGGAATCCCCAGACTACTCACTAGTGATGAGCTGGAGGGAACGTGACACGGAGAGGTGGGCATGGGATTTTGCAGAAGGGTGGAAGCGGAAAACTTTGGAAGAATTTAATTCATGAAGGACCTTCTGTTGTGACCTCCTGCTGCCCCCCCCCCCCCCCCCCCCCGGGCAGGGCTGTGCCAAGCTTTCTGCAGGTCCGTCTGTCCCCGTCCCTGTCCCTCCCGCCCAGCTCCAGCTGACTCTTCTCATCCTCTCCTGGCTTTCCCTTGGGCCTGCGGTTGGAGCCTAAGTGTCGCTTTGGGTGTTCCTGTGACATTCATCGCTAAAGAGGCTCCTCCCTCCCCATGCCGTGGTTTAGTCGCAGCCCATGTTTTTTTTGTTTGTTGGTTTGTTTTTAAGATTTTATTTATTTATTTGAAAGACAGCGATCACAGGTAGGCAGAGAGGCAGGCAGAGAGACAGAGACGGGAGGAAGCAGGCTCCCCGCTGAGCAGAGAGCCCGATGCGGGACTCGATCCCAGGACCCCGGGATCATGACCTGAACCGAAGGCAGAGGCTTTAACCCACTGAGCCACCCAGGCGCCCCAGCAGCCCATGTTTTTTTTGAATGATAAAAACGACGAAAACTGATGTGCTTCCTGGTCCTCTCTATCCCACAGTATCCCAGCAAACACTCAACACTTGCTGTCTTGACTGGGTCTTGTCTCCTCCTTCTCCTTCTCCTCCAGTGACATTCCTTATTCGCTCTGGCAGCTGTACACCCAGGGAACATTCGAGTCCTGTACTGACCTAGGGTAACTAAGAATATGCTGAGCCTCGTGTCTCCGTATGTCCTTAAAGCCTTCCCCCTTCCCTTAGGTCTAACGCCGTTGGCTAGTTATAGACACCAGTCAACACCAAGCTGTTTGAAGGGCTGCCCCTTCCTTCTACCTCCCTCAGAGCTGTCTCCAGGAATTGAAAGCAAGAGATTCATTGAAACACATTTCACTGATTTATTATTAATTGTCCCTTAGGTGGGCACAGAAAGTACCAAGCGGAGGGCAGGGATGCATGACGTGTGGTCACTGAAAAATTTTCAAGTGCCTGCCCAGGTCCCAAATTTATGCTGCGAACAGGGGAGCCAAGATTAAGAAACAGAAGGCACAGAGATTGGACAGGAAGTAGAGAGGGAAAAGGAGGGCGCCTGGGTGGCTCAGTCTGTCAAGCGTCTGCCTTTGGCTCAGGTCATGATCCCAGGGTCCTGTGTTGAGCTTCTCCCTCTCCCTCTGTCCCTCCCGCCTCCCCGACGGTGCTCTTTCTCTGTCTCATGCTCTCTCTCTCTTGCAAATAAATAAAATCTTGAAAAAAGAGAGAGAGAGAGGGAAAAGGAGGAGGCAGGAGCTTGACGAGGACTGGGAACAAAACAGGGAAGCTCCCTAGAGGGGGAAGAGGAAGCTTTCTTGGAAATGAGGCCAAAGCCTACCGTCAGGGTGTGGGATTCCCAAAACTCTCACAGGTCACCAGCGGAAAGACAAATGCTGCTCGTGGCCTCAGAAACAGAGGCACGGACAGCCAAGGAAAGCAGAGCCCTATCTCCCGGACAAGGGCCCGGCAATCCACCGGCTCAGAAACGTATTACCAAGAAAGGGACACTGGTGGCAGCCAAAACATTGTTGCTGCCACCGAAGCACGTCGGAGGCTCCCACCTGTGGAAGCAAAGCAGACACACGCCTCGCCACGCACAGGCATTCACACAAGCACACACCTCACTCCCTGATAACGCCCAAACGAGGCAGAGACGGTGACACGCCACCAGACCCGAGAGGCCTCTTCCCAGGGACTCGGGCGTTGCGGGCTGATTTCTATTTCCCAGAGCAAGTTAGTTGGGAAAGGGACCTTTTATTGTTGCTATTTTACGAATGGGCCAGAACTGTACAGACAATCGTGAACACAACGAACCCGATTTTACAGAGTCTGAAAAACACCCTTTGGCTGTCGTCCTCAGGATTCTCCTTCCTGGCCTCCCGGAATTGTTCTGTGTTTCGTTGGTGAGCATGCAGGAGCCCCTTCTTGGGGCAAGGCGCTGGATCTAGCAGAGACACCGTGTTATTTTCATTCCCCACGAATCCCACCGGTAAGTTTGGGAGGCAGGAGCGCCCCATGGAGTGCTGGGCTGGGGGTATGACTCTCTTCCTCGATGGCGGCAGACAGTCCCGTTGCTCGTGCTGCTCACCGACGCTTACCCTCCTGGCACCGAGGCGTCCATCCGACTTTACCTAATCCGTGTGCCGACGCCAGTAACACACATTTTAGGGAGCCCGCAAAGCCGAGGGTCCTTTCAGACCCCGGGGAGAACGTGGCATAATCAGTTACTGGGGTAAGAAAGATCTGCGTGGTTTGGGGCAGCTGCCTGGCTCAGTTGGGAGAGCATAGGACTCTCGATGTCGGGGTCGTGTGAGCCCCAGGGTGGGTGTAGAGCCTCCTTAAAGAAAAAAAGACCTGGGTGAACGTGAGGGTGGGTGTCTTCGATATCGCTGGTCTTCCTCTCTTCCGAATGCTGATCTTTGTTAAAAGACACAGTCATGGGACGCCTGGGTGGCTCAGTGGGTTAAGCCACTGCCTTCGGCTCAGGTCATGATCCTGGGGTCCTGGGATCGAGTCCCGCATCGGGCTCCTTGCTCGGCGGGGAGCCTGCTTCCTCCTCTCTCTCTGCCTGCCTCTCTGCATGCTTGTGTGTACTCTCTCTCTCTAACAAATAAATAAAATCTTTAAAAAAAAAAAAAAAAAGACACAGTCATTCTGACCAGCCTGTAACACGGGCATGTTTCACAAAGTCCTAATTACAAAAGCAACCCGTTAGACTAGCCCGGCAGGACGTTCCTCTTGTCAGGAAGCTGAACTGCCTCTGAAACGTTAAACAAAGAAGGTGGTGGCCAGGGGCGGAGGAGGTAGGGGACAGGGGACAGGGGACTGCTGTTCACTGGGTGGAGTTTCGAATTACAAGCTAGAAAGATCGGGAGATCTGTTTCACTACAATGTGAATGTACTTAACACCAGTGACATGTACACTTAAAAATAGGGAAGCTGGGAAATGTCATTTTTTTTATATCATAAAATCAATGCAGAGATCTTTAAAAACGAATGGTGAAGATTACCACAGCGAAGCAAGTGTGGGGAAAAGTGGAAAGAGCGGGAGGCCAACTTGGCGCGTTTGTTTCCATGGGCAGTTTTGACATCTGTGAACTTGCGCCAGCAAATCTCAGGGGTGCCTTCCTAAGGAAGCGGTTCTAAAGAAAGGGTGGGGAAGGCATCTGGGCGGCTCTGTTGGCTACGCGCCTGCCTTTGGCTCGGGTCGTGATCCCGGGGTCCTGGGATCGAGCCCCGCATCAGGCTCCCTGCTCGACGGGGAGTCTGCTTCTCCCTCTCCTGCTCCCACTCCCCCCGGCTCATTCTCTCTCTCTCTCTCTTGCTCTTTCTCTCAAATAAATAAATAAAATCTTAAAAAAA